TAGGCTGTATGATACCCAAGAGAAGATGGAAATGGCTTGGCCACGTTATGAGAATGAATCCTGATATACCTGCTAAAACAGCTCTCACATGGACACCAGAGGGAAAGAGAAAACAGGGGCGCCCAATAACAACATGGGGACGAACGATGGAAAGTGAGCTGGGTGCGGCATCTTTGACATGGAAAACTGCACTGAAGATTGCACAGGACAGGAAAGCATGGAAAGTCCTCTCTGAAGCCTCATGTGCCACTAGGCATAACGAGAACTGATGATGATGATGATGGGGAAACAGTGGTAACGAAAACCGACCGTTCAGTTCAGTGGCAAACTGCTGAAAGTAAAGTAGGATAGCGAAATCGCAAACAGCCAAAAATTGCTGGGGCTTAGTTCCACGACATCTTACAAACGATAGACAGCTCATTGTGTGACTGAATGAAGAACTGACATCATTGGACTAGAGGCATTTCAGCCTGTGCTGTTTCCCTTTCCTCTGTAGTCAAAAATAAATTCTCACACTGATGATACCAGTTGCAACCTGATTATGTGTCCCCTACGCGTTGAAGATGGCATAGAAGTTCCTCTACCTACCCTGTCTGAATAACTCGTAAAGTTGTGGGAACTCTATTCCGTTGCATTGTCTGCTTGATCCAAGAGATCCTGCATCATTTCCACTTTATCCCCCGTGTGGGTTCCGGGGCCCCATTGTGGGGAAAACAAGAATAGACCCACTGCCTCCCCAAAAGCATGTCGTAAGAGTCGACTAATTGGGGAGCTTTCTTTGAAGTCGGAGTGCGTCTGCCGGAGAGACAAGGAACCAACAATCTGTATTCAAGAGAATTAGATCTGTAAAATTGATGCACACGCAACACTCAGGTTCTGGAGCAGGACTGCAGTTCAGTAGTGGACGAGCAACCAGAACTTTCCGCCAGAGGGTACAGCTTATGAACTCGAAGCAGAAGAAGAAGAATATTTCCACTTTATCATACAAAAGCTCACGCCAAGAGAAGCGACAGCAGACCGTCTGTCAGCCTGCTCATTACTCCGCACACATCCATAACCTGGGCAGAATGTAAATGGTAAGATCTTGACCTGAGTCCTAATAAGAGATGCAAACCAGAGCAAGTGATAATTCTACGCCTTAGAACAAGACACAGTCAACATCGCAGCCACATGTGTACAAACAAAAAAAAGTGTAAGGTTGGGGAATCAAGCATGTGTACAAGTGGCTTAGCACCCGAGACAACAGATCATGTCCTCCAAGACTGTCCCAAACACAACATATCAAGGCAAAACTTTTGCCCAACGGAAACATCGATGCAAGTCGCACATTGAATTACAACAAACAGTGAAATTCATACTAGAGACAGAATTGCATCTACAGTCTGTTTCAAGCGAACGAACGAACGAACTTCATTTTAAAAGGGTCACAAATTGGGCAGGCAGACCCGTCTTACATTCAGCCCTTTTAAGCACCCGTCTTTCATACAGCAGTTTATTTTATCAATAAAGCATTTTATATTCATGTGATAATATGCATATTGTGAATTTCAATAAAAAAACACAAAAGCATGGGTGGTAAAATGCATGCACGTCCTAGCGCATGCACACACGCACACACACACACGTGCCCACCCACTCACTTAAACACACATTTATAAACATCCATCTGCATACACACGCACACCCATATACATACATACATAAATGCGCATCCCACACACACACATACATACATACATACATACATACATACATACATACATACATACATACATACATACATACATACATACATACATACATACATACATACAGACATACCATACATACATACATACATACATACATACATAGACATACATACATACATACATACATACATACATACATACATACATACTACATCACATACATACATACATACATACATACATACATACATCATACATACATACATACATACATACATACATACATACATACATACATACATACATACAGACATACATACATACATACATACATACATACATACATACATACAGACATACATACATACATACATACATACATACATACATACATACATACATACATACATACATACATACATACATACATACATACATACATACATACCATACATACATACATACATACATACATACATACATACATACATACATACATACATACATACATACATAACAGACATACATACATACATACATACATACATACAATACATACATACCTACATACATACATACATACATACATACATACATACATACATACATACATAACATACATACATACATAGCAACATACATACATACATACATACATACATACATACCTACATACATACATACATACATCACATACATACATACAGAATACATACATACATACATACATACATACATACACATACAGACATACATACATAATACAGTACATACATACATACATACATAAATACATACATACATACATACATACAATACATACATACATACATACATACAGACATACATACATACATACATACATACATACATACATACATACATACATAAATAGACATACATACATACATTACATACATACATACATACATACATACATACATACATACAGAAATACATACATCATACATACATACATACATACATACATACATACATACATACATACATACATACATACATACATACATACATACATACATACATACATACATACATACATACATACATACATACATACATACATACATACATACATACATACATACATACATACATACATACATACATACATACATACGTACGTACGTTACGTACGTACGTACGTACGTACGTACGTACATACAAACCGATACACACGTGCCCATACAGACACACCTACAAAAACACAAGCAGACACACAGAAACACACACAGACATACACACTAATACATAAACACACAGACACACACACAGAGACACATACAGAGACACACAAGCCCGCAGACACACAGACACACTCACCCACACACGTAGACACGGACTCACATGCACAAATACATACAGTCGCAGACAAACACACACAAACACACACAAACACACACACACATCCAGACACAGCCAACAGGCACAGACGCATACACACGTCCACACACGCAGACACACAAACAAACAAACACACAAACATTATGCACAGACCCGCAGATACAGATATAGACACATACCGACAGATACACACACGCAGACACACAAACACACACACGCATAAACATACACACAGACCCGCAGATACAGATATAGACACATACAGACAGATACACACACGCAGACACAGACACACACAGAAACACACATAGGCACACGCAAATACACACGCACAAACACACACATGCAGACACACACACACGCATAAACACACAAATACGCAGAAACTAACCCACAAAGACACACCACATAGACACACAGACATACACATGCATGAAAAGAAAAAAAAAGAAGAAGAAGATGCAAACCACTCTAGGCATAGAACACTTGTCTTTGTTTCGAAGCACGTTCTGCGAGTGCATTATAGTTACATGTCGTACTGTGCTACTCTGCTTCCGTAATAGCCCCCGCCAACATTTTCACGCCTGGTGTTGTGAACGTACACGTGATAATCTCTTTCCTTAAACTGGGTCTATTCACCTTAGCAATAAAATTCCACCCATATTTTACCTCTCGTCGGCTCTGGGGCTAAGTCGATGCGAACGCTTCATAATGCCGGGATGCCGGGTTCGATCCCAGCCGCGGGCCATGGTTTCGACAGTGGTATCAAGAAGCCGACCGTCCAGTTAAACAAAGGCAAACTACTGAACATAAATTTACCTTAAAAAAACCACACAACAGACAGGGGCTGTTGGGGTTGGTTCTGTAAAGTCCTGTAAAAGGATACTAACAAACCTTTTCTTACCCCCCCCCCCCCTTTTCTACTTTTAAGAACAAGGGCGTGCTTTTTTTTTTAAAGTGAACCATATGTGATATGGAATAATGTATATATTAATAATGTATGTATGCTAAACCAGTTAATGTCAAAAAAGTGTGTTAATATTCTTTTCGTTAAAAAAAAAATTCCTATTGGCACAACAATCCAGCTTCTCTTATGAAGTCACAGCTGTTAGAGCAGTGCGTTTATTTTTAGTGCAAAAGGTTAATATTACATTTCAACCCTCCTCCCCCCCCCCCCCCCCCGACCTTTCCCCACCCACTAGGAACATGGGTAGATTAGTTTTCACAAGGGGTTGGTCATGTTTGATCGGCACTCACGATTCAACTCGTTGAGTTAACGGGGCATGGGTGTCAAATATTCAGATAGCAGTCCTTATTTCCAGTCCTTTGTGGACCGAGTAAGAAACTTCTTCTTCTTCTTCTTCGCGTTCAACGGCTGTAAACTCTGGCGGAAAGTTCTGATTGTTCGTCCACTTCTGGACTGCAGTCCTGTTCCAGAACCTGAGTCTTGCGTGTGCATCCGTTTGACATATCTGACTAATCTGTATGCAGACTGTTGGTTCCGTGCCTCTCAGGCAGATGCACTCCGACTTGGAAGTAATCTACCAATTAGTCGACTCTAACGACATGCTTTTGGGTAGGCAGTGGGTCTATTCTTGTTTTCCCTATAATAGAGCCCCGGAACCCACACGGGAAAGTAAGAAACTCACATCAGAGCACTCAGGACGTTACCATAAGCGCCCCGTCCTCGTTTTCAGCAGGGATCGCATAGTTCCAATTCCGATGGTACCTGTAACAGACCGAGTGCTTGTCCTTCTGGACTGTCCGCTACTTGTTGACGGTTGGTCAGATCCCCTGGTCACTCCTCGCTGCCCCATTCTCTTCAGACCGTGATGACCTATATGTGTCTCGAGATATGGGGTATCCACCTCGAGTGCTGGAGGTCCTGGGTTCAAACCCCGGTGAAGGCTGGAATCTTGTCACATGTACTTCTACTAATTTCCCCTGGTCTCTGGGTAGTAAGATGGGACGCCCGTGCGCGCACACACACACACACACAAAACCTTTTCAGTTGGAAATCGTAACGAGTAGCCTTTAGAATTAAAATTCGACCCAAAAGTATTCCTGGCTCCTCGCCGGTGCTATCGAACTCGTGCACTGCGCAGTTTTTTCAGACTCGGGATTGAGTTAGAAGTAGAACCGATCACTTATGGGTTACTACTAGCGTGCCATGATATTGATCCGCTTTTCAAACCTTCCTTCAAACTGTCAAACCTCTTCCCAAACTGTTGCTCTTGTATAACCAGAGTATAGTCTTTAAACTAAGTTCCTTTGACTTCCGTGTGTTTTTTCGCCTCAGAGTGTGAAGGTCACGTCTTGGTGTGCAATAAAACCTGCAGCACAAATTGCAAAAACAGCTTATGTGACGACATAAATGGAAAGTGTTTTGCTTGTAAATCTGGCTTGAAAGGCTCCTACTGTGAGGAAAATGACAGAGGTAGGTTTTTACCACTGCCTCCTTTAGAATCAAACGCATTCCAGTTTTTTGTGTGAGGCTGGCGTGGGTGGTCAGGGGTCACCATTCTTATCGAGTAAATTTGTGCACACATTGAACTACAGTTTGATTAATTAGCAACATGTGTCATTGAATTAATTATCAATTTGAAGATAAATAAGTGGGCTATTCCAGCCTCACACAAACTGGAATGCCTGTTTGAGCTTGATGACTTTAATGCTGAAGCCCGATCGTGATGTTTGAAATAACTGGATTCAATGCAGGGGCGCCAAGACCCACGAAAATGCGGGGGGGGGGAGGGAGATCCTTGTCTACTTAAACATTTTAAGGGGGTGGGCGGACTCAGTGTAACCTAAGCCCTCTTAAAGTGCCTAATAGTAATTACAAACAATGTTGTGACTGATAAAAATATATAACATTTCAAATATTCCGATATGCACGAGTATAAAGAAAAACTTAAAAACAGAACTTCTATGCATGGTTTAGAGGAAGGGCAGTTTAGCTTCCTTACAAATTAGGGCAAATCTAGGCCTCAGACCCCCCCCCCCCAATACGCACCCAAGCACAAACCCACCCAGGCACCTATTTATATTTTTCTTCAGGGGCCCTCAAGGGGCATAAGATAACAGTTCTGGTGCCTGTGATTTCATGGTTTCATCGGGCGCCTGTGATTCCATCGTTTCTTCTGGTGCCTGTGATTCCATGGTTTCATCGGGCGCCGGTGATTCAGTGGTTTTATCAGGCGCCGGTGATTCCATCGTTTCTTCTGGTGCCTGTGATTCCATCGTTTCTTCTGGTGCCTGTGATTCCATGGTTTCTTCTGACGCCTGTGATTCCATGGTTTCATCTGGCGCTTGTGATTCCATGGTTTCTTCTGACGCCTGTGATTCTATGGTTTCTTCTGACGCCTGTGATTCCATGGTTTCTTCTGGCGCTTGTGATTCCATGGTTTCTTCTGACGCCTGTGATTCCATGGTTTCTTCTGGCGCCTGTGATTCCATGGTTTCTTCTGGTGCCTGTGATTCCATGGTTTCTTCTGGTGCCTGTGATTCCATGGTTTCTTCTGGCGCCTGTGATTCCATGGTTTCTTCTAGGTGCCTGTGATTCCATGGTTTCTTCTGGCGCCTGTGATTCCATGGTTTCTTCTGGCACCTGTGATTCCATGGTTTCTTCTGGCGCCTGTGATTCCATGGTTTCGCTGATCAGCTTCTGACATCTTTTCTCCCCTTAGGAAAGTTTAAATGTAGTTTTTTTTTTTTTTTTTTTCAAACTGTATGAGTGCCTAATCCATTGACCTTTTGAGGTTCATAAGACTACCTTTTACATGGGATGTACCATTAATTGATGGGACTCATTTGAATAGAGGGGTACTAGTTTACTCACTAACAGAGGGGGTGTTATGGCTGGGTACGTGACACCTGGTACTTATTTAAGGATGGAAGCACAAATGAGTTTTACGAATACTTCGGTATGATTCGAACCTATGACACCGCCAAGCGGAACTAGCTATTGAGCTACATCAGCTCTATATTTACTAAGATCACTTTTATAGTTTATTGAAGTGTGTTTTCAATCAGACTAGACCAGCGGTGTCCTCAAATTTTTAATAGTCATATTCCAGGAAAAGTAAGAACAAGAAACGCAGAATTATGACATGTGAGATGAGATGTATAAGAAATCCTGCGGGAAAAACAAGAAGAAACAAAAGTCCCTGTCGAAGAATTAAGAAAATAGTAAGCATTAGTAATTAGTGATTAGAGAGGATTATCATCACAACACTCCGGACAGATCCATCCTCTTCAAAAGCTCCACAAGTGTAAAACGACTGATGACGCCTGTTCTGTGTTGGTTAATGAAACGTCTTGTCCTCTTAGTGAAAGGTTCATTTCTTGCAGCTCCAGGCTGCACCCCCATATTCATCAGTCTAGACAGGGATATGGAGTCACGTCCTTTGGCGTGCTTGTCCGTACACTAAGTACAGCGCATGGCATTGATAACATCAATTCTGTCCAGTACTGGGCCAGCCATAGTGACTGCAGTGTCCGCAAGATAGTCTGCAATCTCGTTCCCTTGAACACCCTGATGACCTGGCACAAAGATGAAGGTTAGGGCAGATTGGAATAGAAGGCATGGCACGGGTTAATGATTTCACAGAACATCAAAAAAAGTAAATGATTCGGTCATCTGGTCAGATTAGAACAAAATCAGCCAGCAGCTAGAGCTTACTACATCACAACAACAGGCTACAGGTCAAGTAGCTGACCAAGAAAGATATTTATGGAGGGAGGAAAAGAGATACTACAGAAACTAGATGCGCAAATAGCAAAAGACAGGGGGGAAAAGTACAGATAAAGTAAAGGTAAAGTCGGGAGATGTGAACCAGCGTCATTGCACACGGTTATAAACCATAAATACTCTGCCACCAGGACGGACAGCTGATAGAAAACTGTCCGCCTGTGTCGCCGTTCGTACGTAACTCCGCAGCTACAGCGACGTTCCTCCATTTACCCCAGAGTGTTAACTCTGGTACCCATTTCCTAGAGGCTGGGTTAACCCCGTGAGCCGCCCGATTTCGAACACTGGCCGTGGGCTGCAGCGAGTCGCAGCTGGATTTGAAAGCGAGTTTCCTATCGACTGCTCGGCCCGAGACAGAAAACTACATCTAACTCCCATCTACAGCCCTTTACGGCATAAACTTAAGAAGAAGATGATTAAAGAAAAGTTAATATATAATATATATATATATATATATATATATATATATATATATATATATATATATATATACATATAAGATGATATAATATAAAAGTCTATATATATATATATATATATATATATATCAAGGTTAGTTGCGTATCCTTTACAGGACGTTGCAGAACCAGCCCCAGCAGCCCCTGGCTGTTGTGTGTTTCTCTATGCAAATTTACGTCCAGTAGTTTGCCATTGTTTTTGGACGGTCGGTTCCCCTGATACCACTGTCGAAACCAACGCAAGGCGCATGGTCCGCAGCTGGGATTGAACCTGGCACCCCGGCATTATGAAGCGTTTTGAGAAAATAAATATATTAAAGACACCAACAACAGATCATCCGGATGTCATAGAGAAGAACCAATAAAAGTAACGGACCACTTCACCCATGTGGGTAAAAAAATTTTAACTCATAAAGGGATACAGCAAAGTTATTTATGATACCTATTGGCAAAGTAACAGTAGTCTCGGTTTTACCTCAATCCTTCGTCCTTTTAAGGACGAAATGTTTTGTTTTTTGAAGCCCCACCCTGGCTTTTGCTAAGGGCCGCAATATAGGCAGGCCATAAATAGGGCCAATTGTTTAAACGCGGTTTCTGGGACCTCTCCACGGTGATCCGCATCCACATGGTGGCACTTTGTTTCATCTGGTGTTTATCGCTTGTGTGATGTCCTGGTGGGGTAGAAAGTCAGTCAGTCAGTCAACAGACGTCTTTACAATACTTAACAAAGTATGGAGCTCCAAGTTATACAGCATTAAGACCAAACATCGTATCTTTAATTCTAACATTATTTCAACGCTAATATATGCAAACCAAATTCAGAGAACCACCAAAGATGTGGAGCGAATGTTAAATGCATTTGAAAATTAATGTTTGAGAAAAATCATGATCGCAAAATGGGATGAATCCAGAAAGAGTGAGAAGATCAAAGAAATGTCTGCACAATTAAGTTGAAACTCCGTTCTCATGTGGGACGCAATTTTTACTATATTTAAAAACCCCAACCTGGCTGTAGCTGGAAGCCCAAATATAACCCAACCTGTATGTTGAACGGGGTTTCTGGGACCTGTCCACGGGTGGTCTTCATCCCACAGGTGGCACTTCGTGTCGCCGAGTGTTTATCTCTTGGTGTGATGTCCTGGTGGGGTGAAACGTCCGTCCGTCTCGACTAATACCGGTATCGATTACAATAAGATAAAAAGGTGGAGATATATTAGGCACACTCAGAAACTATATGAGCAAAGAATTGCAAAACGGCTACTAAAATTGAAACAAGCGGTCTGAGGAAAAAGAGGAAGTTTAAGGGAAATAATAAGAACATTATTACTAGACACTAAAAATGCTGGGCTGAATTCCATGTCAGAAAGCGAGAAAAAGTTGCATGCAGCAGAGTGGAATGCGCGCCCTGTATGGCGTCTAACGGCACACGACGGGTGATGATAATGAAATATATATTAGGATCGCAAAAGGAGGGTTGTGGCTTTTTTTTCTTCGAATAATTTGTGTGTGTGTATTTATTGTCTTTGTTGTTGTTGTTGTTATAATTAATATCTCAGATACCTTAAATTTGTTCCGCGGACCCCAACTATGAATCATGTTTTCTTGTTTCAGTGTTTCTGGTTGTTCTATTACTTGTACTGATGTTTCTGATCCTGGTGACCGTGTCCATCCTGATCTGGTGGCTGTTAAAGAGAAAATCTCTTGGGAGAGCTGCTGTTACAGAACCGCCTCAGCCGAAGACAATCGAAAAAAAAGTAGAAAGTGAACCTGAACCGGAAGAGGAAGAGGAAGAAGAAGCGGAAGCGGAAGAGGAAAGTACGTCGTTTCTTGTAGTTGTTGTTTGTGTCCGTGTGCCAGATTGTATTTCACAGTAAATGTATATCAGTCTCCTTCTCCACATAGTTGAAAGTCCTACACAGGTTAGACAAACTGAACGTATACGTCATTTGACCTGATCATAAGAATTACGGATCAAGCCTGTGTTCTTGTCTCGCCATCTCTATGTGGAAAACCCATCAATATAGTGATCTCTGATTTTCTCTTGCTCTTTTCCCATCAGTCTTGCCAGATTTTAACCAAATGTCCGAGCACATTGTTTCTCATTAAAAGCTAGTTGTGTGTTCTTTACAGTGTGCGGGACCTGTGCTAGCTAGATATATCTATCTTCTTTTACCTCACCAGGACATCACACAAGCGATAAACATCCGATGAAACAATGTGCTAACATGTGGATAAGGATCACCGTAGAGAGGTCCCGGAAACCGCGTTCAGCCATTAGACTATATTTATGGCCAGGCTATAATGCGGCCCCTGGCAAGAGCCAGAGTAGGGCTTCAAATAACGAAAAATTGCATCTCATGAAGGAATGCCTAGATCTACAATTACTGCTGGATATATCGGGCTAAACCTGTATTTTATAGACCAAACGGCACTTGGTGGGTGATGTAGTCCGCATCACGCTGTCCGCCTTTACTTCGCCGGACTGTACCTAGTACCAACTAAGGGCTGGGTCGATCTGGGAGCCAAAGTCCTTTTCGGAAAAAGTCAGGACCCCATCAGCACCCGAACGTACGAGAACTTAACTAACAGATAATTCCGGATTCGTTTTCTGCGCAGCCTGCTGAATATGGACATGGGGCGTTAATGGAGTATCCCCAGTGATATGTTTATAGTAGTAGTAGTATCACCCAAGCGATAAACGCCCGATGACACAGAGTGCCACCATGTGGATGAGGATTACCCGTGGAGAGGTCCCGGAAACCGCGTTCAGCCATTAGACCACATCTATGGCCTGGGCTATATTTCGGCCCCTGGCAAGAGCCAGAGTGGGGCTTCAAAAAAACGAAAAATTGCATCCCACAAGGTGATACCTAGATTGTTTTGTTTGTCGGTTTCTGTCTCATCTTAAGCTTTAGATTCGTTATCTGGTTCTTTGTTCCTGTTTTCTGCATTTCACAACAACAAATATATCCCGCGCCTATCAGACTTTTCTAGTCAATAAACAAACAGACAGTGTATTGATTGACACTCCTAGAAAGAAGAAGAAAGACAGAAAGACACACTAGACAACATAAAAATCGTTACTGTGCCGGGAATCGAACCTGTCACCGCAGAATAATGGAAATAGGTAGAGGGAGACAAAGCGACATACACTTTACAGTCTATCGTCATGATGCACAAGTTTGTCAGCATGCGGGCTGATCTCCCTTGGAGATCGCAAATTGTGGAAAGGTATGATCGCCTACGCCAGTCGACAAGACACTTGGCGATAATGGACTGTAGCATTAAGGTCGGAAATAGTCCCATTGCCATTCCTTTTCCCCGTTAACGAAACGAAATGCATCAGTTTTGGTTTATATATACAGTATCTTAAAGCACAACTAAAAGAGATGAAACCTCATTACAAATTTTCGAAAACAGTCTTACGACGAATCTTTGAACCGATCAAAGATGTAAACAGCGGGGAATGGTGATTAAGAGGCAACAACAAAATGGTTAGGGCATGTTGATAGAATGTCAAATGACAGAGAGGTAAAAGCTGTTCACACAGAGCTCAATGGTCGTAGACCACGAGGCAGACCAAGAAGACGATGGAGAGATAACATTCAGACAGACCTGCAAACACCTGGATTCACCAACTAGAAAGAGAAAACCAACCAGAGAGATAAATGGAGGCGGGTGCTATCTGCAACAATGAACCCCAAGGGCTCGGAATGCTGAAGAAGAAGAAGAATGTATAGTATCTGAATGTCTTGGTGTTTTGAGAGCTTGGACGAATTAAACGACCCTACGGTCCTCCACAGTTGAACGGGGTTTCTTAAACTCTTTCTATGTGATCCTCATCTGAATGGTGGCACTTTGTGTCACAGGGTATTTATCACTTGGTATAGTTAAGTCTCAGTCACAGAACAGGAGTTCTTCTTCTATTTCTTCCTCTACTTTTTCTTCTTCTTCTTCTTCTTCTTCTTCTTCTTCTTCTTCTTCTTCACTTCATCTTTCAGCACTTTGGGTGTCAAGGTAGGTATAAAGTGATGCGTTCTGCTCTTCTGGTGCGGCGACCAATACCACGTTGTACTGGTAAAGTGGTTTCAGGCATAGCCAAACTTTAACTGTCGATGGCTACGTTTCAGGCCTGGCAAGCGGACAATTTATTTGTTATCATTCAAACTATATTTTGAGCAGTCCCATGACGTGTATAATCATGCTTTTGTTTTAGGCGTCGACGAGGCTGAAAGCGAAACCTCGACATACTCTTCCTCCGTGGATTTATGATTGGAATCTTATCTGAACAGTGGCTCTTTACATCATTGGATGTTAATCCTTCACAGTGCTTTGTGCTGGAGGGGAAAAGATGCCGGTACTCACCCCCATGTCTATTACAGAAGCGTCCACACTTTTAACACATCCGCCAGTGAACCCTCGTTGTCTTTATGCCGATTCTGGGCTTTTGAGTGATGCTCCTTTGGCAGAGGGGACTCATGGCTTCACGTTGACTGTTCATTTGAAGATCATCTCCATCACACATGACCATAAGTGGCTCCACGTATTCTGTAGGACTGGGCCGATTGTGAGGAGTTCCAGCCATCGTGATGGTCAACAGTGCAGAAATAAATCACAATACAAGGAGATATTAACTATATGAAGTCATTTTGACGTTTATCTGATGCAATCTCCTTTCACATTCACTCAAAGAAATTGTTGATGTGTGTTTGTTAATTTCCCCCTCCGGAGAGCACCTGTACACACTGACACCCAGTTACCCAAGAAGCCACCATCTGGATGGAAACCACCATGAACAAATCACACACTAACACAAACTTGTTCAGCAGTGAAACACTTATACTGGGATCTCCTGCAGTTACAAATCCACCTGCATGCATGTGTGCGATATTGACACTCATTGCCTCATATACACTTAAACCTTGTCGGTGGCTAGAGAACAAGATATATACACATGTCGTAATAGTAACGGACTCTGAAAGCACCTGCTGAAATGGCGAAGACCGGATTGCTTCGAACAGACTGGCATGCTTCACTTGCAAGGTCACGGGTAGTAGTGGGGAATAAACAGGCAGACAGATTGGCTGTATCTGCGTCGCTGGGTGGGGAATCGATACATGACAAGGAAAATGAGCTCAAATCCCTTTTGGAACAAATAACGAAGTCAGAAGAGAAATAGATTACAGGTGCCCCAGTGATCATTTCTTTAGTAGGCTGAACGAAGAACTGGGATCTACCCTGTTGGTCTGATAGTCGGACTGGGATTTTGTAATCTCGGGTTGGTCAAATCTGTCGGTAGCACCTCAGAGAGGGAAAAGCATGTGCTGGTGGAAACGCGAATGGGTTGTGTTTAAATGAAGACAACACAAAATATTGGTAGCTAAGAAGAATAGGTGGTTTTATAGAACTGCGAATACGACACTAGGACAGAAAATAGTTACATGTGAAACGCGCTGTCTGCGCACGGTCGCTAACAACACAAGAAGAGACAGGGTTACGAATACCAGCATTAGAGAGAAAGCTGGAATAAAACCATGCCTGTATTATATTGACAAAGAGTGAAATGGTTCGGCCATCTAGTGAGAATGCAGCCAGGCCAATATACATGTGAGACGTTTTGCAGCAGAACATCTGGGAGAAAGGCGAGAGGAAGACTAAGAAAGAAATGGATAAATGGTGAAGCCGAAACCTGCAAAAGATGAACAAATCCATTACCCAAGAAGCGCAAGAAAAAATACAGAAAACTACGACACTTGGCTACAACCGGGTATCAGTGAGAAGACAAAAGAAGAAAAAGTGGTTGTTTGTTGATGCATCACAGTGACACTTGACTGTTAGTCTGTTAGATAGTGAGTGAGTGAGAGAGAGAGAGAGAGAGAGAGAGAGAGAGAGAGAGAGAGAGAGAGAGAGAGAGAGAGAGAGAGAGAGAGAGAGAGAGAGAGAGAGAGAGATGAAGCATTTCAATTTAGTCAAAGTATTCCAGCATGAACATATAAAACAGCAAACACAGAACAGTTATTATATTAATTACTTATTTTGTTGCATCAAGATCATCAGCTGTTCATTCGTGAAATAAGACACAAAGATCAATGTAGAGGAATGTCAAAGTTAAAGAATAAACCTGCGTTATTTGTAACAAATAAACTGTGCTATCTCCACAATGAATGTTGGCTGCTAATTATGAAAGTGTTACAGGGTAAGGCCCCAGACTCTTCCACAGTGTGATTCTTGTATCACTGTCTGAACATCATAAGGACGTTCTTCTTCTAAATCTTCCACCGTGGGGAATTGAACCCTGGTAAAGGTCAAGCACTACACTGTGAAGCTATGTCACTTACCTGTAAGCCAAAGACCCATAAGTGGGTTCTAGGACAGCAATTGGAGGGGGAAGGGGGGTTAAAGTCACTGCTCCCCTATCAATCATGTTGTAAAATGCGACTAATTATGTGTTCCCTTCAAAGACGGAGTGCCTATGAGAGGCGAGGAACCAACAGTCTGCAAACAACTAAACCAGATTTTAGATCTGTAAAATGGATATGCACATAAAACTCAGGTTCTGAAGCAAGACTTAAGTCCAGAAATGGACGAACAATTAGAGTTTTCTGCTGGAATTTACAGTAGATGATTGCTAAAAAGAAGAGGATAGTATGAATTGGCAAGTAATAATAGAATGTAGGTACTTTTATCCAAATGAATGAATGACCTTATAATCTTATAATAAGATAAATTAACTTATTTTTGAAATATCAGCATGAGCCATCTAAACATTTCTTCTTCTTCTTTGCATTCACCAGCTGTAAACTCTGGTGGAAAGTTCTGGTTATTCGACCACTTCTGGACTGCAGTCCTGTTCCAGAACCTGAGTGCTGCGTGTGCATCCATTTGACAGATCTGACACATTTGTGTGCAGACTGTTGGTTCCTTGCCTCTCCGACATTGAAGGAAGCTCCCAATTAGTCGACTCTTACGACATACTTTTGGGTATGCAGTGGGTCTGTTCTTGTTTCCATCTAAACATTTGAAAGGAAGCTAACAAAGACAAGTTTTTTCAAACCTCAGACAGAGTCAGTCATAAATTGTTGGTCACGTTGTAAAAAGGGGCTAAGATAATTCTTCGATGGATGAAAGATGGAAAACGAAAATGTGAGGACTTTAAAAAAGCCTGGAGAATGATGATAGAAAGGTAAACAAAGTAATGTAATATAAATAATACCGTAGACAGGAAAAAAGGAGACCTGCAGCAATGGAGTTCACATCAACAATCACATGAAAAGGAGACAGACAGACTGACAGACAATTTGCCATACCCTCTTTTTGTTTACACACAGCAGGAGCGGTCATTTTTATTGTAAGGCATTGGCTGGTTTCAGTACATGCCTATTCATGCTTAAGTCACGATCCTCTATAAATAGGGCTTTTCTGGTAGTGGGCCACAGTACATAATATCAGCACCTTCTTTTTTTTTTTTAGGGTCCGATTTTTTTTCCTTTAGTGCTGTTGTAGTAGGCATTTTGTGATTGTTTTTAAAAAAAATAGTTAAAAGGGATTGTATTTTCATTATCCATGTAATTAAATGATGTATATATTTTGTAAGTTTCTGAGATTAGCTGGTGTAATTTAAAACAGTAGGGGCCTCAGAACTTTATATAGTTTAGGGCTTCATCAAGTCTAAATCCAGCACTGGCTATCACACATGATCACCAGAAGCAATGATCAGGTCAGTGTTCTTGTCTCAGCCCACCTCCCCCCTTTTCCATATGACTAAGCTGAAATACTATCATCACATGAATTCCTAAACAGTACTAGAAAATAGAAGTGTGGAAGAGGTGCAATCACCTATGCCAGCATTGATAACATTTAATGATGATGACCCAAAAAGTCAAATGATAACCATTGTTACTGGTTTGTTACAGTGGAGGCTCATGGGTAAACACTAGGGAACTGCAGCTTCTTATCTTGGACATGTGCGCAATGTTTAAACAAGCTGAACATATTGATTGGCTGTTGTACGCATGTGCATCTGCAGTTCGGCAGTGAATACCCATGAGCCACGACTGATAATTCACACATGTGTAGGGCATACATTTGTAAATTCTAAATTTCTCACATAGTTTTTAATTAAACACTCTACATTCAAAGGAGCGAGAAGATTGACATACAACCAATGACATCGGAATTGGAACTCTGTGCTGGCTGCTGAAGATGGGGACAGTGCATGTAATTCTTTCACTGCCAAACAATGCATTATATGTGCCCAGATTTACTCATGTGTGGTCAGATTTACTCATGTGCACAAATAAAAACAATATCAGTTTCGTCTAGACTGGGCAAATGGTTAATGATGAATCTCTGACACTAACATGATTGTGTGACATGGGAGTAAAGCATGGTAAAGCATGTTTGTGCTGCCTTCAAGGCCGAAATAGGAGACATTATAAGCAACCTCTCATTGGAACAATCGGTAGAAGTACCCAGGAGTTGCTGCTGCATCAGAGGACTAAGCATGCATGGGAATGCCAAAAGTGCATTGACATTGATAGTGATAACTTTAATTTTATTCCCTGAGTGGGTCCCTGTGTCGCATTGTGGGGGGGGGGGGGGGGGGGGGGGGGGGGGACAAGAACAGACCCATAGCCTCCCAAAGAAGCATGTTGTAAAAGTCGGAGTGCTTCTTCCTGAGAGACAAGAAATGAAGTCTGCTTGCAAGTAAGCCAGATCTGTAAAATAAATCTACATGCAACAATGAAGTCTAGAAGTGGGTTTACAATCAGATCTTCCATTCTATCTGAGTTTACACCTGGTTAACATGAAGATGAGGGAAAAAAGAAGAAGAAGTATATTTTCCATTTCTCCTCCTTCTTCTTTGTTCAACAGCTGTAAGTTCTGATAGAATGTCCTGCTGTTTGTCCATTTGGAGTTTGGCTTTGTGTCAGGGCCTGAGGTTTCTGTGTAGATCTGTTTTACTGACATATTTGTATGCAGTTGGTTGTTCCTTGCAGCTCAGGCAGATGCAATCCGACTTTGAAGGAAGCTCCCAATTAGTCAACTTCTACTTCACACTTGTTGGGGAGGCAGTGGACCTGTCTTTGTTTCCCACTCTTAGGCCCTGGAACCCATATGAGGAAATTTTTTTGATAAGTTAGGGCATAGTAAAACATGCAACAACACACCAGTCCCCTGCAAGGATTCTGTATTGAGCTCCTGTGGATGTAGTATACCCATAATTGTGAGGCTGCCATTATTCACTTGTATGGGATTCAGCTATGACCTCCTGGGACTGAAAGAGTTAGGGCAATGTCCTGATCGATATATTTTCAGTTTATAACTCAGTTTAGCTTTCAGTTGAATGTGTGGACTCTTCTCGGAGGGTGGCTGCTGTGATGGGCTGGAGGTGAATACTTTGGTGGTGTTATTGCTTCCCCTAACTCATTGAGATATAAAGATTCATATGACGGTGGTGGCTCGCCCAAATCTTGCTGTGAATCTGAATCACTTTCATGAACATCTTCAATAGTAGTTGCACCCAGGTGACTAGCTGAAGCCGCTGCATCATTATCTAGTGGTACTGACAGAGGCTGAGACATATCGGCGCGGATGTTGGCATGTACATGGCTGCCATTCCCTCCATCTTGGTGGCCAGTGTAAGCTAATCTAACTCTTTCTCCTGAAGAGCTTCCAGCATTGCTGGCACCACTGCTGTCTTTTTTTCTAAGGCATTTACAGCATTTTGTGACTTTGAAGACCACAAAAATGAGACCTGTGCCGGCCAGTGCAGCTGCAATTATCCCCACAATTCGGATAGTCTTTTCTGTGTTTTGAGCTGAAACAAAACAAATATGTAAGAAACCATTTTTAATACTCTGATTTGTAAACTGAGGTTGAAGTAAATAGTATCTTAGTAGTCTTGAATATTTCACTTCTACATAGAAAGTCTGATTAAGGTCAATGTTTTCTTTTATAGGGGATTGAACTTTCAGACAGCCTCAGTCATAATCTTCATCTTGTGCCTTGCATGAGGTTATCATCTCCACCTGATAGGTACTAGGGGATCTTGGTCGATACTCAGCATTCAAGAAAAAAGCAAGAAACTGCAATTGGCAGTTTTGGAAATGGAACTGAGCACTGGTTGCTGAAGACAGAGATGGAGCAGGTTTTGGAATGTCCCAAGTTCTGTGATGTCGATTCTTAACTCAACTCAGTACCTGGTAGATTATATCATGTTATGTTATGTTATGTTATTTTATGTCATGTACTATCATATTATGGTATGTCTTGTTATTTTGTGTTATTTCATCTCATGTTATGTCATTTTATTTTGTTTTATGTTATGCATGTTATGTCATGCCATGATATGTCATGTTATGTCATGTTATCATAGACAATGTCTTTGCACACTGGGCATTCCCATGTGTGCTTAGTCCATGATGCAGCAGCCGCTCCAAAGTACCTCTACTGACTGTTCCCAACAGACGCTGGTTGTAGTATCGCATGTCTTGACCTCAGAGGCAGCAAAGATGTGCTTCACAAAGCTCAACTCCCAGCTCACGCAACTGCATAACCATCAGAGATTCAACATTATTCTCCACCCCAGTCTATACAGCTTTGATGATATCAGCTCTGGCCGTGCTTCTTCCTATTTACATTGGTGCATTACTTGCAAGCTGGTCAGCTCTTTCATTGTCTTTTACTCCTACATGCACAGGTGTGTATATCCAGATAACTGGTAGGTCCCCATAAGATTAGCATCATCTGCTTTTTTTTAAAGCCAGTTACAATTTCAACAGAAATGTTTTAATTTTTCAATCCTAAGTCTGTGACTATCCCCAGTCTACTCACAAACAAGATATTTTTTAAAACGGCAATGTGCAGTACCGGCACCTATTTATTTTTCAAGGCGTCAATTTTTCAGTGCAATTGTAATAGACACTTTATGATAATTACCAGCATATTTTTATCTAGAAACAAAACCCTGCTAACAAGGTAGCCAAAAGAGCAAAAATAGTTCAGCATCTCCAGGAAACAACAAAAATACAGACAAACTGGTAATGTACTTTCCCCTTTTGGGTTCCAGGTCTTCATTTTGGAGAACAGATAGACCCCCCTATCTCTCCCCCCCCCCCTTTTTTTTATTTTCAACAGGCCTTTCATAGGGGGTAACTGATTTGGGGTGTTTGCTCCGAAACTGGAGTGCATCTGCCTGAGAGGGAAGGAACCAACAGTTTGCATAAAATATACCAGACCTGTAAAACTCAAATTCTGGAACAAGACTAAAGTTCAGAAATGGACAAACTACCAGAACTTTCCAGCAGGATATACAGCTGGTGACCATGAAGAAAAAGTAGTTCTGTAAAACATGGCTCTGCTCCTTGACTTACCCACTACTGACTCTTCTGAAGGTGTCTGAGGATGAGATGAAGATGTATTTCCTGATTTTGGAGTTGTCTTCATTTGTGAAACTGATATATGCTGTGGTAAACTTGATGATGATTTGGATGGCTTTGTTGGTAAAGATGTTAACTGAAATCTTCTTGCTGACACTGTTGTTGTGCTGCTTGTAAATGATGATGACGTCTGCTGCTGTGGCGATGTTCCTTGAATTTGTGATGACTTCAATGAGAGGGTACCTGCAGATATACAAGAACTAAAAGGAGTTAATTTTTTTGAATTTTTAAATGGTAGCTTTAATCATAACAAAAAGTTTAAACAAAGTTATCAGTTTTTACAGTTCAAAAATAGAAATAATGGTAACTGCACATGGAAAAAATTGCCCAGACACATAAAAACAAATAGTGAACATTGACCATTTTATAAATCTCTTCATAAGCTATGCTGACATTTTTTTCTGCAGTCTTGTTTCTGTATATTTTGTGAGGCAGCCTCTTGCTCAGATTGAACACTGCCATTCCAGCCATCTCCTTGTGGGATGCAATTTTTCGTTATTTTGAAGCCCCACCCTGGCTCTTGCCAGGGGCCGCAATATGGTCTAATAGCTGAACAAGGTTTCCGGGACCTCTCCACATGGTGGTACTTTGTGTCATCGGGTGTTTATCCCTTGTGTGATGTCCTAGTCAGGTAAAATGTTCTACTACTACTTGCTCAAATTCATAATATTATTTAATGAAGTCTTTCCCTCGTAGGATGCAATTTTTTGTTTGAAGCCCCACCCTGGCTTTTTACAGGGGCCCTGAATATGGCCTAGACATGGCCTAACGACTGAAAGGGGTTTCTGGGACATCTCTACAGGTGATCCTCATCCACATTATGGCACTTTGTGTCACCAGGAATTTATCACGTGAGATGTCCTGGTGGGGTACAACTACCTACTTAAGGTTAGTTGTGTATCCTTTACAGGACGTTGCAGAACCAACCCCAACAGCCCCTGGCTTTTGTGTGGTTTTTCTAGGCAAATTTACATCCAGTATTTTGCCATTGCTTCTGGACGGTCGGCTTTCTTGATACCACTGTCGAAACCAACGCAAGGTGCATGGCCTGCAGATGGGATTGAACCCGTCATCCCGGCATTACGAAGCGTTTGCATCGACTCAGCCACAGAGCCGACTAGCTACCTTCACAATATTCTCAAACTCCACTACTACAGAATGACATCTTTAAAAACTCACTACTACCATTATGCTCATTCTTGTCAGTTATAATTTATTTACTAAACCCTCCCTCTCCCATCCACCATGAGTGATGTATTGAATAAACTGTATATTTTTATCGTCATAATTAACTATTAAGTCAATTCCTTGTGTGGGTTTTCGGGAATGTCGTAGGAGTCAACTAATTAGGGGCTTCCTTCGAAGTCAAAGTACATCTGTCCCAGAGACAAGGGACCAACAGTCTGCATACAAACAAGTCAGATCTCTGAAATTGTTGTGCTTGCAAACTCAGATTCTAGAACAAGTCTGGAGGTGGGCGAACACCCTGAACTGTTCACTGAAGCTGTTTGCCAGTGAGCACAAAGAAGAAGAAGAAAAAGTATTATTTGGTAAATAATTTACAGACACAAACCTGATTCTGAACTATATATGACAGTGAAACTTCCATTCCCTTCAGAATCACCTCGGATGAAGACAACCAACATAGTACTGTTTGAACTGGTGTACACCTGCTGTGAAACTTTACCACACACCATGTCCACAGAATGTTCAACCTCTATTTCATCTGCTGAAATATAATATTGAAGAATAAATATCATTTAGGAGAAAAGTGACTTTTAAGTCACTAAAATTTGATGTGGATCATGTTATTTATATTGTTAAGTATTAATAAAGCTCCACCCCTGCTTTACTTGGGCCCATAGTGCAGGTAAAGCTTAGCAACAATGTAGTAAAGTTTAGCACCACTGTAGTAAAGTTTAGCTACACTGAAGTAAAGTTTAGCACCACTGTAGTAAAGTTTAGCACCACTGTCATAGTGTTAAGCACCACTGAGGTAAAGTTGAGCATCAGTGTAGTAAAGTTTAGCACCACTGTGGTAATGTTAAACACCACTGAGGTAAAGTTTAGCACCACTGTGGTAATGTTAAACATCACTGAGGTAAAGTTTAGCACCACTGTAGTAAAGTTTAGCACCACTGTGGTAATGTTAAAAACCACTGAGGTAAAGTTTAGCACCACTGTGGTAATGTTAAACACCACTGAGGTAAAGTTTAGCACCACTGAAGTAAAGTTTAGCAACACTGAAGTAAAGTTTGGCAACACTGTAGTAGAGTTTAGTATCCAATATAGTAAAGTTTAGCACCACTGAAGTAAAGCTGAGCAAACTCAATTATGCTGTACCTGGTCCAAAAATGAACAATTAGAAAATTGGGTTAAACCTCTGGAGATATGGAAATACAGAAGACTATATGGTATTTATTGGAAACAAACATGATCAAATACAGAGGTTCTGAGAAGACTAAGAATGGAAAGAGAGTTCCTGATGGAAAGAAAAAAGGAGACAAGCAAAATATTTGGCAATAATAACAGACATTACATTCTTATAAAAACCAAACTGGAGGTCAACAGTTGCTGTTGTCTGATCAGTTCCCTCCACCTTTGATAGTCAGTTACAATGGACTTCATGGTTGCAAGCCTAAGGCCTGTCCAGTCAAACAAGTTCTATGTCCAGGTCTTTCTTGGTCTGCCTCTTCTCATCTTCCCCTCTACTGAGCCCTGTAGTACTGTTTTTGAAAAGCTGTTAGATCTTATTACATGTCTGTACCATTGTATTTTCAATCTTTTCAACCAAAAAATAATTTCACAGTTGCCAATGTGCTGGATAATTATTAGGCAAACCTTGTCATTTGTAATGTGGTCTCTGTATGACATGCCAAGAATTTTCCTGAAAGATTTTTTCCAATGCTTGCATCTTTTTTCTTTTTTTTTCGAGGGCAGCTATTAAGGTCAACGTTTCACAGCCATATGTAGAGTTAAAGTCTCTTCTTGTTTACTATAAGCAAGAATGTAATGTTGGTCCAATATTTTAATAAGTAATTTTTTTATTCTTCTGCATTAGCCCCTTAAAATGGTGGCTGGCACATTGTGGTTTACAGCAAGGCTGCAGTATCTGCCCCTTTTGCCCCAACACATCTGATTTAACAAACACCAGTTCAGTACTTCAAAGCAGATTTTAAAAACTGACCTTTGTCCTTCAGATCAACCCAGTCTATATTGTTTACAAGGAAATGTCCTGGGTATATTCATGTGAGTCATGTTTGGTGACCACTCATGCCACAGCTGTCCACTGGGAACTGTCTGCAATAATGTCTGAGAGTCAGACACTACGATTCCTTGGTAAATCTGTTTTCAGCTATCCACTCCAGAGCTATGGGAATCTCCATGGTATTGCTAAACCCATTCGCCTGCAGATCAGAAGGTCATGGGTTTGGATCCTGATGGTACCGGACTTTTGTCAAAAATGACTTTAACTCCCAGTAGGTGTTAGTGTGTTTATAATATGGTTATTCAGGGAAAAACCATGTCACAGTTGACTTTGATACATTCATGACCACTCCAACTTTATCACACCACCTGCTTATGCAATCAAGTTCTGTTTGAAGGCAAAATGCTTGAATGGATCGAGAAGTGTCTTTACTTTACTTTACTTCAGAACTGTAGTGACTGCCTCCACCTCTATTCTCATACTTGAAGTTATACACACAACCACAAAATTCTCTTCTGTCATGACCTTTCCGATCACTCTAGCTGAGCCTAATACAAATTATTTGATCCATCAACTCTTCAAAACATCCCCCCCCCCCCCCCACCCAAGTTCATAATTATCACACTCCATGGGGTTTCACAGATTTACAAACCCCTTACCATCATAAATTTGTATGCAGTCACCTTCATTAGGTTTTGTTGCATTTATCAAGTTCAGTATTGGAAAAGTCAACTTTACTTGACCAGCATCCAGGGAAGATCTAATTATCCATTTACAACTGTCACCCCTGAGGAAGAAGAGAATACACAGAATATGAAATAGCAAATTTATGTGACAAATAAATGGGATGTACCATATTTTTACATGTATATATTTATATGTTTTCCAAAATTTTGCAAGATTAATATTGGGGGTCATATTAACAAATTTATTTCTTAATTTTGGGCTCAAAACTTATGGGTCACCTTATTCACAAGAAAAATACACTATTTTAACTATTTTCACATCAGTTTTGTTAACTCCCTGTGCGAATTTCTAGGAAATTTGCAGGTGGGGGGTTGACCCACTGCCCTTTCACAAGCATGTCAAAATATCGACTAATTATAGGTGTTTCCTTCACAGCCGAGGTGCATCTGCCTGAAATGTGCAGAACAAACAGTCTGCATACAAATGGGTCACATCTGTAAAAAGGATGTGCATGCGAAATTCAAGTCATAAAACAAGACTAAGGTCCGGAGGTGGACGAATCGACGAACTTGAGTTTACAGCTGGTGAATGCAAACAAGGAGAAGAAAACATCATATCCCTCTAATAACTGTGATAGCCCTATGCTGGTTACCAAGAATTTTTGTATGTCTAGTATACCCCTAGTCGGCTCTGTGGCTAAGTCGATGGGAACGCTAGAACGCTTTGTAATGCCGGGTTCGATCCCAGCTGCGGGCCTTGAGTTGGTTTCGACAGTGGTATCAGGGGGCCGACTGTCCAGAAAGCAATGACAAACTTAGTTAGTCTTTCCTCTTGTGTCGAGTGCGGCACATAGGGCAGAGGTCGTGACTCTCCATGCACGGCGGTTCGTTGCAATCCGTTGTAGGTCTTGGATGTTTGAGTGGCCCATGAGCGAGCCTTCCCTGATGATAGTTCTACGTAGGGTTTCCCTTGGTCTTCCACGAGATCTTTTCCCCTGTGGTGTCCAAATGAGGGCTTGGTAAGGAAGTCTTGATTTATCCATTCTAAGGACGTGGCCGACATAGTTCCAGCGGCGTTTTCGTATAAAATTAGACACATACTCTTGCCTGGATTCTTGCCTTATTTGTGTATTGGTTCGGAAATCTGACCATTTGAAATTTAGTATTCTTCTAAGGCATTTATTTTCAAAACTGTCTAATTTTGTGTCTAGAGTTTTCGTTGATTTCCAACTCTCGCATCCATAAGTTAGTACTGGAATCACACAAGAATTGAAGATCTTGAGTTTTGTGTTTTGTGACAAACTACTGGATGTAAATTTGCCTAGAGAAACCACACAACAGCCAGAGGCTGCTGGGGTTGGTTCTGCGATGTCCTGTAAAGGATACGCAACTGACCGATTAGTATACCCCTTTGGTGCTTGGCTGTGCTGACCATTTATTCCTAATTGTTGCAATCTTAGTAGTGATGTGGGCCAGTTGCCCCTATTCCATCAGCATCTGGTAAAAACAAATTCTCTGCTCCCCCCCCCCCCTTTTTTTTTTCCACCCCTAAACAAACATGTATAGCATTTACATTTTGCATTCTTTGTTTATACAGTTCATATAAGTTGACATATTATTTTTATATTTAATTGCTATTCAGTATATTTTGTATTTCCACTACAGCACGCTGGCTGCCATACACACACACACACACACACACACACATATATATATATATATATATATATATATATATATATATTATATATATATATATATATATATATATATATAATATATATATATATATGTGAGTATGTATGTGTTAGTGTGTGTATACATACATACACACACAAATCTAGATGTACACAGACACATATACACCCACACGCATATATACACGCACATTTATACACACACACACACACACACACACATATATATATATAGAGCCGCTGTGGTCTAATGGTCAGATACTCACCTGCAGATCTTTATTTTCAAAATGACCTAGACCTCTAGGTCAGCCCAGCCTGAAATGGGTACCAGGTGAAGTTTTGCAAAGTAAAGGTAAAGGGTGTGTGTGTGTCTGTGTGTGTGCATGCGTGTGTGTGTGTGTGTGAGTGTGCACGCTTACAATAACCATCAGACAAAAAACATACTCATTCAGGGGTGTCTGCTTACTCCAGGAAAAATGCTCGGTTGCCGGCATGGTCGTCGCTATCAGTACCTTCCCTGAGCTCGCACATGCACTGTCAGCTGATTCTAGAATATAAATTGAGAACAAACAAGGCACAACTCATTAAGATGATCAGTGCGAACACTGGTTAGGTAGGAGACAAGACACAAGTATCTGTGGTGTAACACTGGTTAGGTAGGAGACAAGACACAAGTATCTGTGGTGTAACACTGGTTAGGAGACAAGACACAAGGATCTGTGGTGTAACACTGGTTAGGTAGGAGACAAGACACAAGTATCTGTGGTGTAACACTGGTTAGGAGACAAGACACAAGTATCTGTGGTGTAACACTGGTTAGGTAGGAGACAAGACACAAGTATCTGTGGTGTAACACTGGTTAGGTAGGAGACAAGACACAAGTATCTGTGGTGTAACACTGGTTAGGTAGGAGACAAGACACAAGTATCTGTGGTGTAACACTGGTTAGGTAGGAGACAAGACACAAGTATCTGTGGTGTAACACTGGTTAGGTAGGAGACAAGACACAAGTATCTGTGGTGTAACACTGGTTAGGAGACAAGACACAAGTATCTGTGGTATAACATTGGTTAGGAGACAAGACACAAGTATCTGTGGTATAACACTGGTTAGGAGACAAGACACAAGGATCTGTGGTACAACACTGGTTAGGAGACAAGACACAAGTATCTGTGGTGTAACACTGGTTAGGAGACAAGACACAAGTATCTGTGGTATAACACTGGTTAGGAGACAAGACACAAGGATCTGTGGTACAACACTGGTTAGGAGACAAGACACAGGGATCTGTGGTATAACACTGGTTAGGAGACAAGACACAAGGATCTGTGGTATAACACTGGTTAGGAGACAAGACACAAGGATCTGTGGTATAACACTGGTTAGGAGACAAGACACAGGGATCTGTGGTATAACACTGGTTAGGAGACAAGACACAAGTATCGGTAGTGTACTGCACTGCATTACAGTTTGTTCCCTCCAGGAATGCAACCCACATAATTAACACTCTGAGGATGAGAATCCTACATGTAAAAATCTTAGCAGGCACCATTCAACTTCAGCCGTAAGGTTATATTGAGCCTCCCACCCCCTTTTCCCCAAAGATTATAAGAGAACCTGAAGTCTGTACTTTAGTCTTGTTCCAGGGCTTGAATTTTGCGTACAGATCCGTTTTACGGATCTGGCTTACTTATATGCTGACTGTTGGTTTCTAGCCTCCTAGGCAGATACTCTATAACTTCGAAGGAAACATCCCTAATAATTGACTTTTATAACGTGCGTGTTAGAAGGAACTGCTGTGAACAAGATTAGTTGTTTTATTCAAATACTTACAAAAGAAAAATATAAAACAGAAGATACAGCAAAGAAAATGGAAAATAAAGAAAAGGAGATGAAGAGTTAGAAAATGTAAATCTATACTCTATGGAGTCATAGACAGATTCAAAAGAATAACATAATAATCGCTGACAAACACACAAGAGCAACAAAAACACGCCCAGCCAACGACAGACAGTTTTCAGCAATCACAAAAACTGTCATTGTTGGAAACAAATGATGGCGCGTGTAACAAACAGCAACTGACGAGACGGGGGAGGGGTCGGGTAAGGAGACGGAAATAATTGTTGTCCCAGGAGGGAAAGGAAAGCACACATTTTGTGTGTTCGTTAATAACGTCTGCTTGAATTTCAAAGTTTGTATAGTGTTAACCCACAGTATTCGCCCCACAGAAAACATAGTAGTTGTGTGTAGGGGGGAGGGGGGGGGGTCTTTTATTCTTTGATTTAATTTCACCTCATCTCGGGGGATTCCTATAATTTCGCAGAAGGTTAGTCGGGAAAATTCATTATTATGGGGGGAGGGGGGGGGTGTGGGTGTTAGGGCAAACACCCTCTCTTCCCCTACCATGTTTTCTAGACTGCTCAGACCCTTAAAAATGTTTTCAATTGTCGGAAGGCCTCTAGAAACTAGACCTGTTAAAGTGCTTAATAATAATGTGCTGAATGGGAAATAACTAAAGTAATGTTTGGAATACTACGATATTTAAGCAAATGACACTTTCGATGCTCATGGAGCCAGACAGTCTTTTCTCAAAAACAACCTTGGCTCCCAGTCAACCCAGCCTTAATTAAATCAGGTACAGTTCTAGGAAGTAAAGACAGACAGCACATTAATACCGAGTGCCGATTTGTCTATTTAATGTAGGTTTAGCCCTATGTGCCCAATATCGATGAAGGCGCGGGAAAACGTCCATCCACGTAAGGTTAGTTGCGTCCCTTTACAGGGCGTTACAGAACCAACCACAACATTCGGGGCGGGGGGGGGGGGGAGCTTTTGTGATTTTCCCGGGCATATTTTATGTTGAGCAGTTTTTTCCTTCCACCGACTATTCCCTTATTTTTAATTTTTCTTCTACTAGGTTTTATCTTCTTTCTTTTTTCTTTTATCATTTTAAACATCTTTATTTGTTTATTTAACAACAACAAATTTCGCACAGTAAAAGGCAGACAGCCAATACTTAGACTCTGAAAAGGAGTATGCTATTGCAGAAACCCTGGTTGTTTCCAACCCTATTGATATTCTTTGCGTCCCATTTATTTCTGTAACTGAAAGATACTGACTGCAGCCGATTGTGTGTAACAGGGTACAGGCATACAAAAGAGGCCCTTTGTCAAGATGGTAATATGGTACGCTTCAAATGTATATGTAGGTCATTTGAAACCGAAAGATGTGATGGGGTCTGACAAAATTGCGAGCAAAACACACATAAATAATTACATGATCCTTGTGCCAGGTGACAGGGAAATCAACACATTATATATATATAAAACCATGACACTGGGTTACAACCTGGTATCAGTGAGACGACAAAACCACGACACTGGGCTACAACATGGTATCAGTGAGTCGACAAGACCACGACACTGGGCTACAACCTGATATCGGTGAGTCGACAAAACCACGACACTGGGCTGCAGGCTGGTATCAGTGAGATGACAAAACCACGACACTGGGCTACAACCTGGTGTCAGTGAGACGACAAACCACGACACTGGGCTACAACCTGGTATCAGTGAGACGACAAAAGAAAGACAGACAGACAGACAGACAGACAGACAGACAGACAGACAGACAGACAGACAGACAGACAGACAGACAGACAGACAGACAGACAGACAGACAGACAGACAGACAGACAGACAGACAGACAGACAGACAGACAGACAGACAGACAGACAGACAGACAGACAGACAGACAGACAGAAAGAAAGAAAGAAAGGAATGAAGGAAGGAAGAAAGGAAGAAAGAAAGAAAAAAATAAAAAAAAAGAAAGAAAGAAAGAAAGAAAGAAAGAAAGAAAGAAAGAAAGAAAGAAAGAAAGAAAGAAAGAAAGAAGAAAGAAAGAAAGAAAGAAAAAGAAAGAAAGAAAGAAAGAAAGAAAGAAAGAAAGAAAGAAAGAAAGAAAGAAAGAAAGATAGAAAGGAAGATAGAAAGGAAGGAAGAAAGGAAGGAAAGAAAGGAAGGAGGAAAGGAAGGAAGAAAGAAAGAAAGAAAGGAAGGAAGGAAGGAAGAAAGGAAGGAAAGAAAGGAAGGAAAGAAAGAAAGAAAGAAAGAAAGAAAGAAAGAAAGAAAGAAAGAAAGAAAGAAAGAAAGAAAGAAAGAAAGAAAGAAAGAAAGAAAGAAAGAAAGAAAGAAAGAAAGAAAGAAAGAAAGAAAGAAAGAAAGAAAGAAAGAAAGAAAGAAAGAAAGAAAAGAAAGAAAGAAAGAAAGAAAGAAAGAAGAAGAAGAAGAAGAAGAAGAAGAAGAAGAAGAAGAAGAAGAGAAGAAGAAGAAGAAGAAGAAGAAGAAGAAGAAGAAGAAGAAGAAGAAGAAGAAGAAGAAGAAGAAGAAGAAGAGCTGAAATAACTAGTCCAAATATGTCTTGAAATTGATGTTAGATAGTTCATTTGTTGTAAATAAGCGACTTATGTGGATGTGATAGCCCAGTGAAAAAAAAAAGACGCAGAAATCAATTATTTCAACTAACTGTATCATTGTTGGATGGTCAGACAGACAGATAAATAGACAGAAAGATACTGACATAAACAAATCGACACAGACAAATACAAGAGTGAACATACCTGTGTATTTATCGGCCCACACACTCAGGCCAAGCACAGACATACAGACTAATGAGGTCAACCAATTCCTAGTAAGTCCCTTCATTGCTCCCAGAGGCACCCTGGGCCAAGCCTACATCTCCAGCTATATGGCACAGGTGGTTTTTTAGTGTACCTTTGTGTTCACTGTTTGAGAAACACTGAAGTTATTTATTTATTGATTGGCGTATCAGCAATGTGCACCTGGCACCTGAAACATCACATCACATCCTCCAAGACTTTCCCAAATGCAAAATCTCGAGGCAAGACAGTGAAGTTCATACAAAAGACAGCTTTGCAAACAAAATAATTTTTTTCAAGCGAACGAAAGAAGAAGAAAAATTTATTGTGTCATTGTCGGACGTACTGAAGCATCGTCAACGATTTCTTTTTTTTTTTTTTTTTTTTGTTCGTTAGTACATGTTTCGCGTAAATATGGCCTCGAGAACTTCAGTACAACTGGCAAAATTTGATTTCTTTCTTCTTCGAGTTGACCGGCTGTAGACTTCAACTGAAAAATCTAATATTCGTTCTCTACTCTAGTCCTTACGTCCTTCTCAGGACGTAATTTTTTGTTATTTGAAGCCCCACTCTGGCTTTTGCCAGGGGCCGCAATATAGGCAGGCCATAAAAATGGCCAAATGTCTGAACGCGGTTTCTGGGACCTCTCCACGGTGATCCTCATCCACATGGTGGCACATTGTGTCATCGGGTGTTTATCGCTTGCGTGATGTTCTAGTGGGGTAGAAAGTCACTCACTCACATATTCGTTCTCTTCTGGACTTTGATTTTGAGTTTTACATGTAAGTCCGTTTTTACAACTCTGGCCTTCTTTAGATGCAGGCTGTTGGTTCCTCGCCTCTTCAGCAGATGCACTACAGTTTTGAAGGACACATCTCTAATTAGACGACTCCCCCACCCCCCACCCCACCCCAACCCAATTAAATACTAGGGCTCGCAATAAAATACTAGGGCTCGCAATAAAATACTAGGGCTCGCAATAAAATACTAGGGCTCGCAATAAAATACTAGGGCTCCCAATAAAATACTAGGGCTCGCAATAAAATACTAGGGCTCCCAATAAAATACTAGGGCTCGCAATAAAATACTAGGGCTCCCAATAAAATACTAGGGCTCGCAATAAAATACTAGGGCTCCCAATAAAATACTAGGGCTCGCAATAAAATACTAGGGCTCCCAATAAAATACTAGGGCTCGCAATAAAATACTAGGGCTCCCAATAAAATACTAGGGCTCGCAATAAAATACTAGGGCTCCCAATAAAATACTAGGGCTCGCAATAAAATACTAGGGCTCCCAATAAAATACTAGGGCTCGCAATAAAATACTAGGGCTCGCAATAAAATACTAGGGCTCCCAATAAAATACTAGGGCTCCCAATAAAATACTAGGGCTCCCAATAAAATACTAGGGCTCCCAATAAAATACTAGGGCTCGCAATAAAATACTAGGGCTCCCAATAAAATACTAGGGCTCGCAATAAAATACTAGGGCTCCCAATAAAATACTAGGGCTCGCAATAAAATACTAGGGCTCCCAATAAAATACTAGGGCTCGCAATAAAATACTAGGGCTCGCAATAAAATACTAGGGCTCCCAATAAAATACTAGGGCTCCCAATAAAATACTAGGGCTCGCAATAAAATACTAGGGCTCGCAATAAAATACTAGGGCTCGCAATAAAATACTAGGGCTCGCAATAAAATACTAGGGCTCGCAATAAAATACTAGGGCTCCCAATAAAATACTAGGGCTCCCAATAAAATACTAGGGCCCCCAAAACCCACTAGGGAGTGGGGGGCAAGATTTATGAAAAAGAGAGCAAGGGGAAGGCCACACAAATTATACCAGGTTGACCCTATGGTTTCAGGGGAACCCACATTGGGGTCTTTACTCGGTAGCCATTTAAGACTGGGTCGATCTGGGGATAAGGGTCATTTTAGGAGGAAAAACCAAGACCTTTGAATCCGCCTATCCGCTACACATTATTATTATTATTATTTATTATTAATATTATTATTATTACTGCACTCAAACAGGGTGAATATCAATCGACAGTCCTCTAAGAAATATGTAAAGGGAGACAACTTTTTCCGATGTTTTCTTTGTGTACACGCTCTTGCGTCTATGTACCGTAAACCCCCACATTTAACGATTGTATGTTTACGTAGGCAAGGGACAGTTACTACTATATTACTTCCTGCAATGAAGAACAAACCGGAACTGTGAATTCCAGCATATACATCAGCGGTACTCAACCTGTGGGTTACGACCCTTTTTGGGGTCAAAGGACCCTTTCACAAGGATCGCCAAAGACTAGTACATCCAGTTTCGTCCTTTTTATGACGAAATTTTTTGTTATTTGAAGCCCCACCCGGGCTTTTGCCAGGGGCCGCAATATAGGCAGGCCATAAATATGGCCAATTGTCTGAACGCGGTTTCTGGGATCTCTCCACGGCGATCCTCATCCACATGGTGACACTTTGTGTTATCGGGTGTTTATCGCTTGTGTTATGTCCTAGTGGGGTAGAAAGTGAGTCAGTCAGTCATGAGAAAACACATATTCAGTGAGGTTATGAAGTAGTAACGAAAATAATTGTATGTTTGGTAGCCGCTTCAACGTGATGAAGAAAGGGTAGCTGCAGTAGGAAGGTGGAAGGTTGGGACCACTTATCTACAGAGAGTCCTCCAAGGCTGACACCAGAACTCTCTTCAAAACATTCCCTTATGTAGGGAAAACCAGAATAGACCCCTTGCCTACCCAAAAGCATGTCGTAAGAGTCGGAGTGCACGTGTCTGGGAGGAAAGGAACTAACACATGTAAAACGGATGCATACGCAACACTCAGGTTCTGGAAAAAGACAAAAAGTCCAGAAGTGGACGAACAACCAGAACTTTCCGCCGGAGTTTACAGCCGATGAAGGCGAAGAAAAAGAAGAAAACCTGATGGTGAAGGACGAAGAATAAAATTCTTCTTTTTTGCGGCCACCGGCTTTAACTCAGGCGGAAAGTTTTGGTTATTCGTCCATTTTTGGACTTAGGACTTGTTCCAGAACATAAGTGCTGTTTGCACATCCGTTTTACAGATTGTTAGTTGTCTGTTTCTCAGGCAGATGCACTCTGACTTCGAAAAAAAAAGACCTGAATTGTCTTGAGATATGCTTATTAGGGAGGCAATAGGTAAATTCTCCCTCCTCCTTCACACACACACTCAATGGGGTCCGGAAACCCGAAGAAGAAGATAAAGAGGAAGACGAAAAAGAGGAAGAAGAAGAAGAAGAAGAAGAAGAAGAAGAAGAAGAAGAAGAAGAAGAAGAAGAAGAAGAAGAAGAAGAAGAAGAAGAAGAAGAAGAAGAAGAAGAAGAAGAAAGAAGAAGAAGAAGAAGAAGAAGAAGAAGAAGAAGAAGAAGAAGAAGAAGAAGAAGAAGAAGAAGAAGAAGAAAGAAGAAGAAGAAGAAGAAGAAGAAGAAGAAGAAAGAAGAAGAAGAAGAAGACGAAAAAAGAGAGAAGAAGAAGAAGAAAGAAAAGAAGAAGAAGAAGAAGAAGAAGAAGAAGAAGAAGAAGAAGAAGAAGAAGAAGAAGAAGAAGAAGAAGAAGAAGAAGAAGAAGAAGAAGAAGAAGAAGAAGAAGAAGAAGAAGAAGAAGAAGAAGAAGAAGAAGACGAAAAAGAGGAAGAAGAAGAAGAAGAAGAAGAAGAAGAAGAAGAAGAAGAAGAAGAAGAAGAAGAAGAAGAAGAAGAAGAAGAAGAAGAAGAAGAAGAAGAAGAAGAAGAAGAAGAAAGGGAAGATTCCAAAGCAGATTTGAAGCGTAGATCTTCGTGCCGGCAGGCCGGCGATAAGTCACCCCACTATCGATCGATCAGTTTGCCCTACCCCCTTCCCCCCTTTTCACCCACCCCACCCCTCCGGCTGCTACCTAATAGATCACCATACCATCATTAGAAGTAAAAAATAAAAAAAAACACATACACACACAAGGCTGTCTTCAGGCACGGGACAGCTGGGCACCTACCCTGGAGCCCTGTGCTAATCTTTACAGGTCAAGTGACTTGCCATAAAGAACAATGAAAGAATTCAGTATTTAAGTAGTTGACGTAGGTCCCCAGCACACAGGTTTTCCCATTAATCCATAACCCTCTTAAGACGGTTCTACCAAAACGGCTGAGTCACGCTCAACCCCACAACAAGCGATGAACACCTGGTGACACAAAGTGCCATCACTCGGATGAGAATCCCTAGGGCGCAAGTCCTAGAAAACATGTTCAACCGTAAAGTTATATTATAGCCCCCAACGACAGCCGAGACGGGGCTATGAATCCATAACCAAATTGTGGGCAATGCTGGGGCCTTTCATTTATTATAAGAGCTCGCCATAACGGCAACACCAGCCAAGTATAACATGTCATTAGAATCGACGTCACTGCACATGCCTGCTCAGTCCCCTGTTACAGCAGCCACTCAAAGGTACTAATTGTTTCCATGAGAGGTTGGTTGTAATGTCTCCTTTCTAGACCTCGAAGGCGGCATAGACGTGCTTCACCGTTGTTTACTTCTATGTCATGCAATCGTGTAAGTGTCAGAGATTCGTCATTATCCACTAGCCCAGACAGTTGAGCGTTGTCGAAATTTGCTCTGTCCATGCGTCTTCCCACATGCGTTGGTGCATTGCTTGCCAGTTGATCCGCTCGCTCATTGCCCTTTACGCCAGCATACCCAGGTGTGTAGATCCAGGTGTGGGAGGTTACCTGTGAGTATAATAAATTTGCAGTCCTGTTGCGTAAGAATAATAAGTCACTAGTTACTAGTACAGTTTCGCGCGGCAACCCACACACCAAAAAAATATAATGTGCATGTGACAATTAAACTACATTACGAAACAAAACAACACATATTAGTTACACACAAACAGAAGAAGAATGCGGACTATCGACATCGCGTAACAGATACATGCCATACATTATTAAGAACAACAGCGCGTAGTTCTTGATGACTAATATCATTTGAATAAAACAACAATGGCCTACCGTGTAATTCTCCAAAGCCACAG